TCATACACATATGGTTATGAATCACTATCTAAATGTGCAGATAACAGTTTCTCGAAATGTTGAGCTTATCGTGTCCCACATGCCTGTGACATTAAATAACTAACAAAGATTAAATCCATGTTTTGCCTTAAGTGAGTAATTGAAACTGGAGTTCGTATTTTGCTGTTGTGTTTGTTGTTTGTGTATACATAGAAAATATTGTTTCGACGTCGGTTCATTTTGATTCGTTACCTTTAATATTACATAACTAAAGGAATATCAATTATATCGGTTAATCCATCATTTTATTTTTCATATTCTTCAATTAATTTACAAAAGAAGATTTGATCTTCAAGAGAGCAGGAAAACAGTTTATACCCTGGTTTCCTAGGAAGTGAAGGCAGGGATGGGCTACAGACTCTAAGCGAAACATGTTATGCTATTTGTGTGTGTCGTTTACTGTTTCCCTTACAAAGGTTGGCTCTGGCAATACAGATGACCTTTCTCTAGTAACGCTACTTTTTTCGTAACTACAGAATGAGAGCCTTTGTTCCTGTAAAGAGAATTGATATGATCGGTTTGTGATCACGCTGAAAGGTCAAGACCTCGTCAACAGTAGGATAATATGGAAGAAGTACGGCGATTCTGGTGTTTTTACTCCCTGAGCCACAAACCGCAACGCGCGTTCTCCAATTGTCATTATTACCTGTAGCTATGAGTGTTGGGGGAAATGTTAATTACACGCTTAGTCTCAACCTAAGTACTGATTGCTATTCATTCATTTTGCTGTTGGTCCTTCAATAAAGGAAATTGTCCTCTAAATGGTTTGTAACTTATAGTAATGTCTGTTTTATATTTCATAGTAAACTGGTATTTCAGAATCATCTGCAAATTGTGCCATTCAGAAATATAACGAGAGGACTAAAGAGAACTGACTTCCTGGATTGTCAATCGTCCGTGTTTGGAGGTTACAACAATCAATAATCCCCTTGAAAGGTTGGTGTTTGTTCAAGCCATTGATCCCCAATTCGATTATCGAGTTTAGATTCCAGGATTTAAATCAAACTGTTCTTCAGTGGATTCGGACTGATGAGAGGGTCTGTGGTAGAATGACTCCAGTGTGGCGTCAGGAAACAGACACGTATTTTGGCATGTATTTTCTGTGAGAGGCGGTTGTTAGCTGTAGGAAAATCGTAAACTTTGCGCGACCTACTGATTTCTACATTCGTTACTGATTTTCATTTATCCAGTCATTAAATTTTCTTTGCTAATCGTTTCATCGCATATTTGGAGACTAATATATAGTCCCCGGCGCTGAAGTTGTTTTAGTTGTTTTCGTTACCTCGAGGTTAGAAGTAGAAGTGTCGAGTCAACAGCACTTGCATTCGTGAGACTACGTTTTAGTATTTCTTCCTCTTACGTTTATCAAAAGCACTAAGTGAGACCTAATGTAATCAGCGAAAAATATTTCGAATGCTCTCGTGAACGTGGTTTGTTACGCATTATTTAAAAGCAATATATGCTGTATGTAAAACTAAAAACAAGTATAACTGAATTACATCAAATCACACGTTACTTTTCGCAAACACCTGGTGTCATTAATAACTGTTTTTTTTCCTTCCATAAATGACATGAATCTGTTTGTTTCGGCAGAACATGTGACGTATCTGTATTACGTAATAAAAGGGGATTTCACCCTTTAGGATTGTAAGGTGCCTGGTGTCTGGGGTGAAGGTGTCCGAAGTAACTACAGGTTAAATTGAACGTACTGGTTGGAAGGTGCAGTTCGCAGTTTTACTTATATTTGGTTTCTTAAATAATCCGAATTAGCAGTTCTACGTTACTAACACGCTTGATAATATCTATAGGTTTGCACAGTCATTTTGAATACATAACATTATCTAATCATCCTGATGATGTCTGATTTAGGGATATTTTTACGAAACGTTTCATAATATTTAGTGATATTTAGTATGAAGATTGGTGACGCTGATCTAGTGTTAAGAAAATCTAGTTTCCAGTAATGCAGCCTTCTCAGACACCAGAAGATCAATAGTCACCATCACATCCGAGGAGTTACCTGTTTCTGTGGGCCCAGGGACATGTTACCACCAGGGTCACTTTTCTCGGAATGCAACATGTTTTAACAGGAACGAAACCCTGAAAATAAGATACACGTTGGTGAACACATCTCTGAGACCACAGTTGGCTGAGTCCTTCTGAAATATGGTCTTGCGCTGTGCAGAGAACTCGGACATTGTGTAGACATTGTATTAGGCTCATGTAATGGAAATAACAGCGACAAAAGTCTTTCCATATTCATAAACAAATTCTTCCAAAAGTAGAGTTGACTGTATTATTTCTACCGTATAACGATCATCAGACCTTGAATCCCCGTTAACAGTGTTCGCGAAAATGTGCCTTGTCCAGTTCCATCGACGGCATCTAGAGCTTCAATGACCTTGATGTTATCAGTGATAGTATTTACGTTTGGAAAGACTCCAAAAGATATCGAAATGATCATATAATGTACAAAGCGTTGGTAGCCAACGCACTCGCTGTGAACGCCACGTTTTCTCCAAATAGAACAGAATCTTCTGTGTCGCCAGTAATGCCTTAAAGTTTGAAGTCAGAGGACATTACACACCCCGACCTAGACAACACGTTTTTGTAGTTCTGATGTTCAAAGTCAAGAAAATATGTGACCGGGTGTCTGGTGACGATGTCCGAAGTTTTTCTTTTTTTAATTCACTTGAACATACTGGTTTGTAGTTACAGGTGTAGTGCTGGATCGAAAGTAATTCGTCAGTAATGCCTTAAAGTTGGCAGTCGGAAGCATTAAACACTCTGACCTTGACATCAACATTGTTTTAGTTTTGGTGTTCAAAGTCAAGTAAATATGTTTTCATGTGATACATTTTGAAGCAATTGTTTGCTGTGATACCGTGCATAAAAGGTAGTTGTGAGATCAGAAATGTCATTATCGTCATGCTGGTACCAACCGTTATGACTGGCATTCCTTTCCAGGAAAAGTAAACAGTGTATCGAAAGACAGAAAGACACACATTTGGAACAAATTCTCTGACTGTCAATAACGTAAATGACGCACGTGTTATCGAATTGTTCGCAGGTAAAGCGCTGATTAGCGCCCCAACTCAATCAATAAGCTTTAGCGAACATCTGCTTCGGGCTTAAGCATTGGAAAAACATCTGCCAGTAACACAGAACGGCAAAATCGGTAGGCAGCAAAATTGAGAAGGACATTTAAGAGAACCAGTTTCCCTAAGGCGCTACTGTACATAACTACACTTTCGATACCTCAAAATAAGTAAAGGTTTTTCATTTTTAGCCATGCTTCAAAGTCTGGACTCGTAAGTTGTTTTAAATACGTACTGAGACAAAGACTTCTATACGGTACAGAAAGGGCATAGCGCGTTGTTCAAATTGCACAGAATCTAGTGGTTCGTCCGTTTCACCTGGTCAGATTACCAGCTCATTTATTGATTTATTAAGACGACTGTTTCCGTGTCCTGGTGGAACTGCCATTCCTGGAACTGAGTCCCAGACTGTACAATTACACAAATGAGGATATTGTCTTAGGTATTTCTCATTGTCCATCTGCCATAGCTCTAGACGTCATCATGTTTCAACTGCAGGACACAATCAATTGATAAATTGGTCTCTGGATCTTAGTTCAAAGGAACAATATCATAAGAAGACATATTAACTGTTTTGGTATGTGGTGTTATCGGTTATATTAACCAATCAACCAACCGATCATTCAGATAAGTAATTCACCAATCAGTATGAAGGTCTATATTAAGTATAAAATTCGTAGGCCTATATATATTCCCATGATAAATCGGTTATTGCACTGAGTGAGTGAGTGAGTATGATTTTACGCCGCTTTTAGCAATATTCTAGCAACATCACGGCTGAGAAAATCAGAAAAGGGCTTCACACATTGTACTCATGTGGAGAATCGAACCCGGGCCTTCGGCGTGACGAGCGAACGCGTTAACCACTAGACTACCCAACCGCCCTCACTGCACTGAGAAAGAATGAGAGCATTTCTACATGTAATATGTAGTTAACATGTCTGGTGGATTGTTCATTACTGTCATCACGTTATGCATATTTGGAAATGAGAAAAACGTTCAGGAATACGTATCTTTCGTACCTTATGAGAAACTGGATATACAAATATAGAAAATCTGACATCTTCGTCTCTCTCCTGAGGCGTGGTGAGACTTGTTATGACTGTCAGACCTCTTCATTTTGTTAACTGTATTTAAGCAGCCCCGAATGTTTTTTTTATTATTGAACTAAAAGCGACAAATTCTTACGTATACCGACCCATCTTTAATCCAGCCCCAATTAACTGTAATTCAACGTAAGGATACATCAAATATTTAAATTGATAATAACAGTATATGATACATTTACGCTATGGACGAATTATCTACATATTATAGAAAACTGCATTATGAATGTGGGTTGATTTTTTCACTTTTTAATCTGAAGGCGACTCACAGACGTCCACCCCGCCAATTAGCCCACCCATCAGAGTAGACGACGTGTAGGCGTGATCTCCATTGAAATACATACATCGCTCATCCCTTAAAAATACTTTTTAAATATCTCTTACACCCTGACGTGGTCTGTTTCCGGTAAAATGTAAAAAGTAGACCCCATCCTAAGTACAATTTCATATACTACGATCCATGTGACAATAACCCTTATTTCACCAGCAGGAGAAATGTTCAAATCTGGATACGTTTACAAAGAGTATCACTGGACCACACTTCTAACGTCAGTTGTACTGAAATAGCATCCGACAACGTCAATACAGCTAATGCGACGGCGTATTCCTACTTCTAAATTTTAATTGGCTGGCTACAAGCCGTCTGTGTGTACCGCCTGTTTGAACACATTTAGGCTGGTTTGTTTACTTCCCTATTGTTTCCATCTGCCATAAAAGAGGTATTGCGCACGGAAACGAACCAGATACTTCCATTGCTTGCTACGACACGAAGAAAGACTTACCGGTTCGCCTCCTGTGCGCTTACCCCATCGGAGTGTTTTATTTTGGAGTATAGATATATTTCCTAGGTGAGTGGACGTTATTGGTTTATTATATATCACCGTTATCATCAATGTATAAATTATATCCCTGTGTAGCATCGTGAATATCGATACATCGTTTTACCATTTTTTATTTTTTTGTTAGTGCCTATAGGACCTGAACAAAATTAACGAAAACAATTGTATAAACATATACTGAGTTACATTTCATGTTTACCTGGCATTAATAACTTGTTTCAGTAAAAGTCACAATAAGCATGATATTCATTTTGAAAAATTAATTGCTTATGGTGCATGTATTGTGTATGTATGAACACTTTAATAATTAGTAAATCAAAGATTGAAGTCATTTTTTATAACTTCGCAATCGACAGTTCGTTATTTCACTGTCACAGTATATATTTTAGTTTGGGCAGGATGGACATCCTCTTAAAGGGTTTACGTTGTTGCATACATCATAATATTATCTGCGTAATACTGTGTTGAAAAGTTTCAACTCTGGACAATATTCAGACACATTTCAAATGTGTTTTCAGGTTGTTTCAAGATGCCTTCATCCCTAGTATTGTGTTTGATGTGCCTCATCACTCTATCAGTCGCACAAGATCAGTTCCAACAGGTCAAAGATTTAGGTAAGCTTATCTTGGTGGAGATGAAATAGACCTCACAAAAGACATATTTTCTACTCAAAAGTACGCATAGAACATTCCATAACATTTTATCTATGATAATATGGACAGATCGGATGTACATTAAGTTCTTTTAAGGAACATATAATTATGAAACGTAATCAAGTTATTGACTTCTGATTGGTTTATTTATTGGATCGGGCCTTGCAACATCGTTACTTTTGTACAGGTGGTACTTTAGCATCTGAACAGATCACTCGTGATCGTAAATATCTTTTCTCAACTGGATTTAGGATATCAACCGTATAGAACAGTTCATTACATTGAGCTAATTTCGCTATGTAATTACTAGGGGATTTATTAGTACAACGTTGTGTTATAATTACTATTTTCGGATGTAACGGCGTCATTCAAGAAAAATACAGAAAACCTTTTCATAAAAATACCTTTTTATATATAATTTAATAACTAATGTGTAACTATTATAGACATTAAATAACGTTAGTTACACGACGGGAACATATTGGTGATGTATCAGATACGGCACTGAAGGGATTCCAATGAGAGATGAGATACTGCATGCTGCGAAAATGCTCCAAATATGCGTGATTTAAAATGATACGAATATCAAAGAGAAATTCTTGAAGGTTTTGAGCATTACCGTCTCCTTGAAATCCACATTTTACCTTCCCCCATGCCATCAAACCATAATAACACAAGTGCAGTCCACCCTTTCCCTCTGAGCATGTGTGATCCAACGATGCTCCCTGAAGGCGAGCAGAAACCTTTCCCAGTGGGTAGCCTGTAGGGTACAGAGTGATGCTATTTTCGATTCGTTGTTCATATAAACTCTCATGGTCTCGTCTCACCTGAAGATACAGACAACCCAGGTGTACCCAGGCGAGTGAGTACACGGCAAACATCGTTAATAAGGATGTGTACACAGCGAGCTGTTCTCGTAGGGCTAGTTAGGTCGTCAAAGCGCCAGTTAACATCACGCCGTATTTGATGGTTGCGTGTCATACATGGCAATGGCTTGCTGGCTGTGTCGTAAATGCGTGTGGTCATCGTTGGCAACTTCGGTCTGCATTGTTCCCGAATCTTGATGTTTTGCTTCTGGTGAAACTTAAATGATCTCGTACTCATGGAATTTATATACACACAGTAGCAGTACTTAACTTTGTTATATAGTCAGTGTCACTATCAACGTCAATTACATTAACTTCTTTGATTTGGTGCGATAAAAAACAGGGAGAGTTCTATGGATATACAACTTCTTTATTTGAGCGATATTAATAATAAAGAAGTCATATTAATAATATAAAAGTACGTCAATTACATTACATCATTTCTCCAAGTGAGACGAGGAAAGAATATTTGTAAACAAACAAATAAACAATCAAACACTTGTCATTCTCTCCGCGAACACCTGGTGTTGTTACTGAGATTTCAGACTGTTTGTTTCTCTGGATTAGATTTTCTGCATTTACGAAAGGTGGCGAGGTATATAGCAATAAAACAGACATACAGCCCTTCGTGGTTGTACGTTTCTGAATTTGTCGCTGCCGTTAGTGGAATGGTACTTGATTCCACGTGGTTGTAATTTGTTAGTTTCTTGGTTTCTTGAATATTCTTGCAGATAATGATCTAATAACAAATATATATGATAATATATTTGGTGGTTTAGTTCACTTATGAAAAGGTCCGAGTTAAATAAAAAATAATATAATGAAAATTAATACATAAATACAACTTAATATGAAACATGAGTGTACAGTGACGATAGCAATAAGCATGAAAAGTGTCACCTTGGCAATTAAAATTCATAAAGGAAGTTTAAGAATATGTTTTTTAAAAGTGATATAAACGATATGATCTTATAATGTGTGACATAAAGGTGGCCTCGTGGATGCAGATAATTCTGCTAGGATGTTGTTGTTCATGGGTTCGAATCCCAGAGTCTTGATTATTATTATGACCTGTGTTACTTACTGGGTTTCCCCACACTAGTCAGACTGTCAATACATCACCGCTATTGTTCTCTTCCAGTGTGCAAGAACTTCCCATGCACCAAGGAGATGTGCGCACAACAGCAGATGTGGTGTAACTTGTGTTCCTGTTCGGTCTCGGTTGAATGCTTGGTAAGATATCTCACACTGGTTTGTGCGGATCCTTGCCCGATGACGGGACAGTACTCAGCAGATACAATAACGCCTAGACCACTCCTGTCATTTATTTAAATATTTAAAAAGTAAATGTCAATGCTAATCAGGTTAATGTGTCTATATTTCACTTGTTATAACAGATGTTTCAATTTAAGGTGCAAATATTATTTCATTGCAACAACTTGCTCCTTTTTTCAGACCGTCAAATGTGGATATGGTCAAAAATGCCAAACGATCAAGTCGCGAGGCTGGTTTAGCAGATCAGTCGCAACATGTGTTGATGACCCTAACTGTGAGTAAAATGTGACAGTGTGAGTGAGGGAGTTGGGTTTAATGCCGTTTTGAAAAGTGTCCGAATTATACCACGGCGTGTCAGCTTATCGTGGAAGGAGTGAGTGAGTTTAGTTTTACGCCGCACTCAACAATATTCCAGCTATATGGCGTCGGTCTGTAAATACATGTAATAGAGTCTGGACCAGACAATCCAGTGATCAACAGCATGAGCATCGGTCTACGCAGTTGGGATAAGATGACATGTGTCCGGCAAGTCAGCGATCCTAACCACCCGATCCCATCAGTCGCCTCTTACGACAAGCATGGGCTACTGAAGATCAATTCTAAGCCGGATCTTCACTGGTTAGTAAAAGAAAGTGATGCATATTGCGACATGAACATCACGAACACACCTATGGTGTTGACAAAATGGTAGACTCGTAACGGGATCCGAACCTATGATTATAGACGCAGCCCTACTTAGCGAACTGCAACATTTAGACGACCGAGTTAACATTGCTGTCATGACACTTCAGATACAACCCGGGTACTGTTTCTTGTACCCGAAACCATCTCATATTCCTATGATTATCCTGGCATCTTAAATGGATCGGGTGGTGAAACGTTTTGACTTGCGAATTATCGAACCCAGGTGAATGACTGTTGCTCATTATATCAATCACCGGTTTGTCTGGTCCACAACTGAGCATTTACAGTTTAACCTGACAGCCAATAACTAAAAAACAAATTGAGAAATCATATCCTACTGTCAGACAGTAACTTCAAACATTTTCTGAAAGCAATCATTATGTAAACGAAATGATTATCTTGCTTCACCTAGTTTTTGTATAACAACAAATATAATGAATATATAACTTGCAGTTCAACCGACAACCGAAGAAACAACTGCGACTTCCACAACTACAGTCACTCCACCTCCAACAGATGCAAGAAGCGGAGATTTATGCACAAACGGCCGTCAGTGCAGGACGAATGACGACTGCGATCTCCAGGACCGCTGCCTTTTGAACTCGGGCGGGGAGAGCGGGGTTTGCTGCAAGAAAGAAATTGTCAACTTGAGTCCACGTGAGTATTGTTACTGTCTATATACCTGACCAATTAACATTTGACACACACATTCCCTAGTACACGTGTTGGAAAATAGTCATGTAACGCCAGTAAAAAATAGAAAACGGTTTTCGATTTGTATTTACATACCAACATGCAAACATGACTATTACACTTAATCGGCATGTAATTTGTATTGCCAAATTAATTATGATTTTCACAGATCAAACTGAAGGATTTACGTCACATATTATACTCTACTTTTGAAAATAAATGCCTGCATTTGTCAGGCATACCTCGAAATATGTTAGTCAGGAACTCGGAATTGATATCGATGTACTTTAGTCATGTCTGGACGCATTAACCGTTTTTCGCACGCACGCTCACGGACACACACACACTCACCAACTCTCTCTCTCTCTCACTCACACACACACACACACACACACACACACACACACACACATGTATATTAGGGACAAAATCCTCTTCACTTTCATAAGAAATATCTGCTAGTCGGTAATACCATTCGGAGTAATTATGACCATCTGATCGTTTGTTTGTTTACATATGTTTAACGCCACTCTCAGTAATATGCCAGCTGTAAGACGGTGGTCTGGCAATATCGAGGACCAGACAATCCTGTGATTGACATATATATTCTGTGGCTGCAGGTTGCCGGGAAAAAATGAGTATCGGCCCATGCAGAGCTAGCTTCCGGAAGTACTTCTACAATATCACAGCTTCCCAGTGCCAGGGCTTCATTTACGGTGGATGCGATGCGAATGAAAACAACTTCGACTCGGTGGAGGATTGTCAGAAAGAATGTGGTTAGTGTCAATCACGTATTTCAATATTAAAGTCTCAGGCCTATGTACAATTATTACAATAAGTCATTTTGAACACCAGAAGACCATCCAGGACCAAGGTTTCCGAAGCTCTCTGAGCTCTAAGATAGTCGTAAGTTAATGTCAATGTATGGCACTTACGACCATCTTAAAACTAGATCTATCTACTGTATCTATCTGTCTGTCTGTCTGTCTCGCTAGCTTGGATGTATTTATTGATTTAGTTAGTTAGTTATATTTGTTTAGTTGTTTAATCATTTAGGTATTACGATGTAATGTTATAACCTATGTACAAAGGTCACGCGTTAAATGCCACACCCAGCAATGTTCATTCTTTCATTCATTCATCTATTTAAACAGAGAATCCCTGCCTACTTCCCATGGACAGAGGATTCTGCAGAGCCATCCTCAGCAACTTCTTCTTCAACTCTACATCCGGGAAGTGCCAGGAATTCGATTACGGAGGCTGCGGCGGGAACCCGAATAACTGGAAGTCGATGGAAGAATGCGAGCAGAGATGCATGTCTGCGTGAAAACCACTTTGATCAGAAGAATTTTCTTGCCTGCGTCATAAGGCATCGTGATCACGTCTCTAGTCCCGGATTGAACTGATATTGGTGCCAAAGGAACAAGGTGTTCTCAGATGAGACTGGTGTCTGTCAGCTTAAAGCTTAAGGACATCTGTACCTATAACTCTATCCATGTACACAAAGAATTACGACAAACCAACTTGCTTACAGTTTTCATGGAATCATTTAAAGGCTTCAGAACAACTCTGTCCCAACTTAGTTTTGTCCACATCTGCACATTTTTCTTGTTTTTGAAACCTTGTAAGGGTTTTGGGATTTTCGAATCATGAAAGAATATGTACATAATGCTTAGTGTAGAATGTTATTTTTATACCGGTGCTACTGTATGAATGTTCGCGAAAGGATGTTTTTGAAAATCATTTTGTCAATATCATGCATCATACTTCGAAAACTTTGGGAAAAAAGGTGTCCATCAAAGTAGTTTAAAAAACAAAACATCCAGATTAAACTGCTACAAATTGTTCATTACATCCAGTTTACTTCGAAGTAAATACAATTAATGGCTAGCGGATGTGTTCAGTATGTTTATCAACTGATGCTGGACGTCCAATGTCTGAGTGTGCGTGTCTTATTATTGGTTGAGCGGAATGTGTGAAATGGTATGTTTACCAAATATTTATGTTAAAATGTTGTAAAGAAATAAACTTGTTGTGAAACCCACGAAAACGGGTATGGTATTGAGAAATCGAGAAAAAAACCAGGGTCAACAGGGATTCGACTTTGGGTCGTCCGATCCTCGCAGGTGTAAGGGACATAATTAGACGTAGCGAATTGCTGCGACGATTGATGGTTGCCGTAAACAGAATCTGACATTAATAGGTCATATATACATTTCGAAGGTTTTCATTAGGAACTGACACATTACTGTTGGTGCACTTATCCTTTCACATCAAACAACCTAACACGTTTTACATGCATGGGAATGATAGCCTGACACTAAACAACCTAACACGTTCTACATGCATAAGTTCTATAGTCCCGACATCAAACAACCTTACACGTTCTACATGCATAAGTTCGATAGCCTGACATCAAACAACCTGACACGTTCTACATGCATAAGTTCGATAGCCTGACATCAAACAACGTAACACGTTCTACATGCATAAGTTCGATAGCCTGACATCAAACAACCTGACACGTTCTACATGCATAAGTTCGATAAAACCGACATCAAACAACCTGACACGTTCTACATGCATGGGAATGATAGCCCGACATCACACAATCTCACACGCTCTACATGCATGAGAATGATAGCCCGACATCACACAATCTCACACGCTCTACATGCATGAGAATGATAGCCCGACATCACACAATCTCACACGCTCTACATGCATGAGAATGATAGCCCGACATCACACAATCTCACACGCTCTACATGCATGAGAATGATAGCTCGACATGACACAATCTCACACGCTCTACATGCATGAGAATGATAGCTCGACATCACACAATCTGACACGTTCTACATACATGTGTGTGATAGCCCGACATCAAACAACCTAACACGTTCTAACATATACGTGCTCCACTGCAGAGAGCAAACAACTTTACACGTTCTTACAAGTCTGTGTGTGATTGCACCGACTTCAATCAATAGTACACGTAATATAGACGTCCACGACATAAAACATGTTAACTGATGCTATAAACTATACACCCATAGTAATAACATTGTACTGGAGAACTGACATCGTGCCCAGTAATGACAATGCTCAGTCATGCTCCAGAACAAGCTGTACTTGGGTTGAAGTGCCACCGGGCAACACAACGTCTGTGGACCACACAGAAACAGCTGTCGTCATGTAGAGGGCCACCCTCCTGGTTGTATGCATCATGGACACTTAACCTGTGTTACTGCTACCAACTGAGTGGACATCAGCATCTTGATGAACTAGTCCTTTAGCGGCTGATTTCTCCATTAATACCAAAGTGCCTTCCGCGATTAGTATTGCCATAACCCCTGGCACAGCCATCAATAATACAAGGAAATGAATCAGGGATAATCGCAGCTGGCTTATGCAGGATTAAGTGGCAGTAACGACAAATATGGTAATTAAAACCAGACCACATTAACCTGGTATGGTCGGACCGCTATGAGCCATGTCGCGCATCTGTTTCGATTGCTTCAGTACACCAGAGACCTTCTGTCAGCGGGGACATTAACCCTTGCTGAGAGAATGGTGGTCAAATACTCTATATTAACCCTTCTATTAAATCATTTAGGCAAAGTGATTCGCTATTGCAATTTTAACAGGATTTAGTATGTTTGTTTGTTGTTTAACGCCGCGCTCGGCAATATTCCAGCTATATGGTGGCGGAATGAAAATACAACCCAGTGATCAACAGTATGAGCATCGATCTACGCAATTGGGATACGATGACATATGAGAACCAAGTCAGCGAGCATGACAACCCGATCCCGTCTGTCGCCTCTTTCGACAAGCAGGGGTTGCTGGAGACCCAATGTTCCCTGGTGGATGTAGTATATTTGAACGCGTGAACCGGTTGGTACAGGGCACAGAACGTTGTAGAATAGAGTTAAAGTGAGGGGTGCGGCGGTTGCTAGTAACGGGGGCTGGTGGACTCAATGGGGGAGGCTTCTGTTTCTGTGAGTGTTTTAGAGTGACAGAGAGAAACGACTAAAGTAAAGAAACGCGTCCAGATTGATACACAAGTATTGGTAATTCTTAATGCTCCATTCTCAACCTGCGTCAATGTCAGCCTTCATTCCTAAAGTTATCTCTCGTAATAAAAGCACTGAAATTTTTTAACATTAGTAAACATGTTTAAATCCTACCAATCTACTAAGTATCTGGGTGTACCTTTGTTTATAATTTCAAGGAATATTACAATTGAATGAAGGAAAATACTTTTTTCAGCACTTTGTTTAGACCAATTGTGGAAGAATACACGATACAGAACATAACTGATTCGAACTTCCTTGCTGCTTGTGCTAAAGCCCAGCTCACATTGCAACGCAGCGTACACAGATACTTTTAAAATCGTGCCAAGCGTACACGTAAGACATGAAGGAGAAAAAATGCATAGCTGTTTTTCTCATCCTCCCACATGTTCGCGTTCATATTGATTTGGTTTTGATTTACTGTGCAAACTATTCAGGCAGCCGCATTAACTAGTAGTTGGTGGAACTGAAGGGGGAACAAGTCGGTGGTGTCACGTTCAGGGAAAACAGAAAAGACAGAAAAAAGGTCAGAAGAGGATATTTTCTACAAGTTGAGAATAAACAGACTGACGATAATCCTGCAACACGACACTTGTTTGTATCAGTACTGGTTTATATTTAACTGTGGAAGAAACCCACTGCGTCTTCTGGAAGGTTTTGAGTTATTTGTTCAGGATCGAAAGGTTACTGTCAAATAGGACATGTTTTTTCTTGCATTTTATGGTTCAATGTGACGTACAGATAATTATATCATGGACATTGTTGATAGGATGAGAAACCTTTCAGTTACATGGCGGTATCGATATATTGACATTACCTGGCAAAGCCATTCCTGACCTTGGTGTACGTATTATTGTTTTTTGGTAATTTGTGTTTTATAAAAAATGTGCATTTGAAATGTGAATGTGTTGTTGGTCAGATGTTCAACTAATCTATAAGGTTTCTTCGGTGGTGGTGGATGGCGAAAGTGATATTCTTGTAGTGATTCAGGGTGTATGGGGTGTCTGTATGTGGGGGTTTGGGATGGGGTTGGGGGGCATGCATACTGATTTTTTATGGTGGCCAAACAAGAAACAAACAACAAATGGTGATTTGGGTGCCTCATGGCTGTGTTGTGCCTGATATTTCATAAAACTTCATTTTACACAGTCAACCATTTCTAACAATTACATTAAGGTATGTCAAAATAGTGCATAACTAGTAGACGTTCATCACATTTCTTCCTGACAGCCATGTTCTATGGTAATGAGATTTCAAGAATTATAATGTGCCCAAATCAGGGATTTGAACCCTCAATCGCTGGATCCGGCAGCCAGGAGACACCTTAGGCCAAGGCGATCGGTGAAATCCGGGTTAGGATTGGTCTTCAGTAACCCATGCTGTCGTAAGAGGCCACTAACGTGATCGGGCTGACAAGCTCGCTGACTTGGGTGACACATGTCATCGTATCCCAGTTGCGTAGATTGATGCTCATGCTGTTGATCACTGAACTGTCTGGTCCGCCATATAACCGGAATATTGATGAGTGTGGCGTTAAGCAACAAACCATCCAACCTTAGACCAAGACAACACTCTGGATAAAAGTCTAAGTCTAAGATAGAGACTCCTTGTCTAAATGTCCAAGGGCAGTAAATCTGAGCAATGAATTTCGGGGCCTTCCAATTCCAGAAGACAGATCTAAACACTACTTATTCCTTCAGACTAAACAGATAAATACAACTTTAGTTACACAAGAAATAAAAAACAACAACTTTAAATAGCAAACTTCCTGTTGTACATTACCACAAAAATGACATTATTGAAGTCCAATGTTGAGTGCGTAACTCCAGCTATTCTGGGCCACGATATGAAATATCCGTCATGGAAAGGTTTAACTATGCAATGTACATGGTCATCCGACTCCCGCATGGACAATTTCCCCACACCTAGACACATATCTCTTCATTACGACCGTCCCAGGATGGATCTAATAGCCACATCACCTTTCACACCTTCACCTTGGTTGGAGAGTAATTGTTAGTCCCGTACCATCTTTACAGGAACATGAGAATTCAAGACAATGCCATTGTTACTGAAAGCATGTTTAACAATAAGGTGAAAAAAACCCTGACTGATCGATGTGTAGTGTGTACGGTGTCCTACAGTTTGAAATGAAAACTCTCAACAGAATTAGGAACGCTGAAACCATTAAGGTTCATGGAATGAGATGAAAACAAAAAACAAAAACAGAGTGAAGTCTTTGGCATCGAACTGTAAGTATTTTCGTGCTGCTTGTCTGTTCAGAAGTCATTGTCGTTATTATTGTGAAACGTGGCTCCTAGCAGTTTACGCAGTTATGAAATGATTGTAGTTTAGGTAGCAGTAATGTTTATTTGTGTGTGTGATGTACTATATACTACGCCATCCCTACACATATATAGCTAAATAGAAGGCGCATTACCTATGTTTATACCCACTGTAACATTTTACACGTCATGCCTACTTCAGTGTAAGACGTTTGTTTTGGTGAAATACTCAGTGTCATATCACATGTACCAGGCTTACCATAGACGTCAGATGTAGAGTATCACGCAATATTACGACATATGCACATTTCAAGCTTACATTAGAGGTCAAATCTAGACTGTCACTGAAATACCCAATGTAATATTACAACTGTCAAGCTATCTCGAGAGGTATTGTCAAGCTTCAGTGAAACATCCAGTGTCATAATGCACATGTCAATCTTACTTTAGAGGTGAGATCACAATAATTATATAGAGGGCAGATATACATATCAATCCTACTTTCAAGGTCTAGAATGACGTTGAAATACAAGCATGTCAATGTCAAGCTGCCTGTTCAGGCCTGAATAAGAGTGAAACCCCTGCGTCACAATTCATTCATGGTCGGCTTACTTTAGAGGTTAGATCAAAAGTCTGTGTGGAGTAGTTTGTGGTGCATTACAAATGTCAAGCTTACCTTA